CTTTGCGGATGAGCTCTAAAGCACGGGCTGCGCCCGCGTCTTCAAGCCCATATCTTGGCAAGAGGACATGACAGGGCTGCTAAGGGCGCTGGATGCCACGCTCACGCAGCACCGCTACTCAGGGCTCACAAGCAATGTCGCGCCACAGATGACTTTCCCACGCGTGCAGTGCAAAGGTCTGGCTGAAACGGGCGAGAGCCTCCACCGAAGGAGTGGCGAACGCGCATGCCCCGCACCTGAGAGACATATTTCCCTCCCTTACATGGCGGGGTCGAAGCGTGTCAATGTCGATCAATTTGGATGTGATATCTGCATCTTTGCTGACCGCGCGTTGCGCCTCAGATGCTGCACGGTAACGGAGGCATGATTGCGCTAATCCACTCCTCATCCTTTGTGCAGCACTGGTGGAGTTGTGTTGTGTAAACCTCTACAACACCCCAGACGACAAGGCCTACGACCTCTCATGGCGCGAGAGCTGGCCAGGTCTCAGATCTGGTGGTGGCTTCTCGTTGACGAAATTGCGGCAGTCTGACTTCGCCGCTAGCCAGAGATGGAAGCTTCTTCGTGATGGCTCTAGGCGGGCATGGGCGCCGCCCGCCTGTCACCGCTGCAGATTTCGTGACACGGATCGATTGGAGACAACCACATTGGCGTGCCGTGACCTTCAATGCCGCTGAGCTCTATCCCCTGCAGTGGAGGATTGGTGAACGCCTACGGCGTTCATGGGATGCAGGGGTGAACCGCAAAACTTTGCGCACCCTGCTCAGTACAAAGACCGCTTTCGGATTTGCCTGCCGCTATCAGAGGAGTCGCTTGGATTGCGACCCTCACAGTTGTGCTTGCAACCCGCAGGACTGATGACGGGTGCTTTAGCACGTGTCCGCCAGTGGAACCAGCTCAACGAATATGACAGTCTGGCTGCCAGGCCTCTTTGGTCCACGTTCCGCCTGGCCTCCCATAAATCAGCTTCACAGCCAGCATCGCGGAGAATAGCAGCAGCCGCACGGCCGATGGCCAGGGCACACAAACCAATGAAATGGAGCACGAGTGTCTTGGGGAGTATGTGCACTGCTGGCTCACGTTTCGTCCAATGCTGCTCGGCAGTTCTGTGCAGAAAGCGCCGCCAGCCAGCTGCGTCCGCCATGTGTGCATCATTCAGAGCGTGCAAAAAAGCCCACTCCCTGCGATGGCAGCGTCCCGTAAGCTGCGGCTTGTTGAAGAAGACGCGGTGAAGTCGTGTGGTACGCGGGAACGAGCCTGCGCCCAGGGTGCACGGGTCATATTGTTCATGGGCCACAGCAATGTCTGCAAAGTCACGGCGCATGATTTCCGCGTTGCGGCCTTCAATGCGGTAATATCCCAGCTGATAGAAATGCTGCGGGTGCCAAAGACTGATTTGCCGCAAATGTCCTTCCCTCGGCACTCGTTTACTTCATTGGTGTGCGTGTCCTGGCCATCCGGCCGTGCAGCTCAATGAAGATCTCGGATGTGCGGTATGGGGTGCGACTTCTGGTCCCAATGTCTGCTCTTTGGCCTGTATTAATTGGGCTGATTAACCAAGTGGGACGCGATCGGGCCCTTTTTCCGCTTAGTCCATCGATTCTGACTGCAGCTGTGTCCTGCAGCCGACCAAAGGGGATGGCGGCTGGGCATTTGTGGGCCATTGCGCCCCCTGACAACAGGAAGCGGGGCCATGCCTTGTGCTTTTGCCATTGCGCGATCCAAGATTGCGGGAAGCAGGGCCAGTGAGCGCATCCGACTGCACATTAATCAATGCTGAACGACTTTGCCGGCCAAGTTTGTATGTCGCAGCCACCTTGTTTCACTTTGTACAGGTGTTAGTTACCTCTTATTCTTGATTTCTTGTTTCTTCTAGGGACCGAGCGCAGCAGCCGCTGTCACCGAGGCCCATTCACGACAAAAAAAATGTATTGCGATTGCTGCGACTGCAAGGCGATTGCTATGGTAGAACGGCAATCGGTGTGCTTTTTGTTGAAACCGCACATTTGTGTGTCTGGGATTCCAAGTTTTTTGCGGATGGAGCCACATAATGAAGCAAAACAGAAACATATTCAGGGCCAATTATGTTCTGTCTGGTCTCGAAACACAGTTTGTGGCCGGATGGCAAGCCTGATTTTCGCATGTGGCTTGGAACCCCAAGCGCAGCGCCAACAGGGAAGTCGCTTGTGGTGCACACGTTCAAAGCGTTATTTCGGTCTCGAAACCAAAATGGCCATGTCTGGACATGCACTTTCACAAGTAACATTTGCGTCTGGAGCGAATCACAGCACCAGCTTGCCTTCTGGCAGCGAGGGCAGCCTGCGTGCGAATACCTCTCAGCTGCTCAGTTCGGTCTTGAGTTGGTCAAACCCAACGGCAACGAGGCACAAAGGCGCAGCTTTCACCGCATGACCGTTGCAGAAAAAAACCTGCCAGAAACACTCTCATGTGGACACAACTGCCTTTCGAAACGACGTCAGGTTCTTTGCCCATTTGATTTTTAAAGTTCTTTGCAGTCCAGGGGTTTCTCGCATGACGTAGCTGCTACGTCCTCGACCGGTTCATGCAAGAACCATCGTGCGTGCCTGAATCCGCAACATGCCTTTGTTCGAGATGGATTTCCCGCCTGTGGTCGTTTTCTGCCAACTGCAGCCTTTTTTGCTTCAATAGCTTCCAATCCAAACTCTGGAACGTGGAGTTCCCAAATCCGAAGTTCGAGTTTGGAGTTTTCTGAACATGAAGTTCGAACATAGAGTTTCAAGGCACTTTGGTTTCACGTTCTGAGAAGATTCAGTTTGATTTTCCAGCTGCTTCGCGGAGAAGTCGAAGTCTAAGAAGCTTCACAGACTGGTTTGCAATTTATTGAAGATGTTTCATCAAGCAGTCCGAGTGGCCACATCGTGTTTCAGAGCCAAATTTTCCGAAATCATGCAAGAAAACAGTGTGCTGGTGTGCTTCAATTTGGTTCTATCTAGAAGCTGCTTTGATCAATAAGTTTCGTTGTGCAAGCTCCACATGAAAGGACAAATCAGTCCGTGACGGTCTGCAACTCACCTTCCAGTTCCAAATGCTTTTCGGGAATGGGTACGAGTGTGGTGAGATGCTGCTACACATTGCAGATGAGATGCCGATCTTGTGTCGGTATTGTCGAAGCTTGGACGGTTGTTTTTAATTCGTTTCGTGGAGAGTAGGATTTGCCGTTTTTGCGGTTTAGCAGCTTCCCGTTGAACGCGATTTTGCTTGGATATAAATTGAATACATGAACTTATGAGAAAACGGATAAATGAGTATGACTACATGAGAACAAGATGAAGACTACACGAATTAACCCACAGTACATAAATACATAGGTAAATAAATCCAAATACGCACATCAATAAACATGAGAACTTCAAATGAATATGTACGATTATGTATGTATATACATATTTTTCCATATATGTATACATGTGTCGTGTGCTAATATGTCTGAACACGGGAATGAGAGCAAACGGCAAGCGCTTGTGTTTCACTGCAGACATGAATTCTGAAACGAATCGCATCTTCGACGTCTCATGCTTGGGCCCCATGCAATGTCGGCGAATCTTGACTCCGTGGAAATCAAGATTGGTGCGGTTAAAGGTCTGACACGTAATCATGCCACCAGATTGGTCAAATAGACAGCAGATAAACCGTGTCCCACAAGGTTCTCAGCGAGTGGCACAAAGCCGCTCGCCGACAGTTTGCGCATCAGGCTCGTCGGCACGGCAACTTTGCTTCGTTTCGATGGAACAAATTGAATGGTGTGTGTGAGGCGCGTGTGGAACGGAAGTTGGCACGGTCAAAAGGCGGGTAGTGATGCAAAGTGGAGGTTTCGGAACTGGGCGTGCGGCCAGGAGCACCATCATGTGATGGTGACGATGTCGGCACGACCACTGCCAGGCAGCAAGTGTCTCGTGTGGTGAAGAATGGGTCGTGGTTCTTCTGATTGTTAACCACCTGCTGTGAATGGATAGAACATACAAAGTGTGGTTATGGATGTGGTAAGATCTATATTGAGGTACGTTACACCTGGACATGCACGGCCTGAATGCAGACAGATCTTGCTTGTCCAGTTGGGCTTGCATCTTGATTCTGACTTGTCTGGACGACTGCCACTTTGCTAGTACGTGATTGCAACAGATCGTTGTTTGCATCTGTCATGCTGGCACGACTGCACTACACGACACCTTGTATGAGCCAAAATCCTTTCGATACTTCTTAGATTTAGCGGTGTCTGGCTCAATTCAGGCACATGAACTGCTTGTTTCCGTTTCTCACTATCATATTGAATTGTTCAGGACGATCAGCTTTTGTCCAGTTGTGGCGGCTGCTTTTGACAGTCAGCTTCGTCAAAAAGCGGCAGCATGTGGTCTCACAGTTTCGCCGATGGTGAGAACCAGCGACACGTTCGCTTTGTGAGGCCTCATTGCAACAGCTTGCTTGCGGAGGCATCCACGGCTGCTTGGCAGATCTATACCAAGCTGTCAATGCCAACCTTTGTCGGCGTACAGCAGTGAAGGACCCGCCGCGTTCATCACCACGGCTTCCTCCGAGATCTCCTTTGTTGAAAGCAATGGACTCTCCGATCACGTCTTTCTGTCTAGTTTGGCCTTTCATTTCCAAAGCATTTCGACATCGCTGAAGGGCTTTGATATTCAGAGTACAAGCCTTCCGATGTCGTCCTCCCATCACAATGCCGTGCGACTGCTAGTTGGAGTCTTGTCAACAGCGACCATATATTTTGAACAAGTAGTCTTGGCCAGGTCTGTGGTACGGTCTCATTCGAGCAAAAGAATGGTTCTCATGCAGCTGGCACCCTGATCGCACGTAGAGGTTGCAGAACGTGCCGCTGTACTGCTGGGTGCGACGGCATCAAAGCACTGACTGCATCACTTCTTTCCTGTGCCTCTTCTTGTGGGTGCCAGGCTCTTCTGCCGATGAGTTTCGCAAGAGCGAAGGCAGGGTTTCCTGATCCTGGCATGAGGAATGCGCCCGCACGATCACTGCGAGCAGGCAAGAGCTACTTCAGCAAGATCGCCACTGCTCAAGGCAAAGCCGCTTCAGAGATGATTCCTTGCGATGAGCTCTTGGGAGTTGGACGGCCGGTTGTTGCAGCTCGTGGAATGGTTGGCAGAGACTGAGACGCACTCATTTGAGGCTCGATCGCATCGAGAAGCGCGGGCACCGGTTGCTTCCAAGACCTGTCGTCCAGAGCACTTCTATCCGCTAGCCGCTAGCCTCCATTCTGGTATTCCTAGGCTGGGGCGACGTGCACACGAAGACTGGATGTGGCTTCAGAGCCGCGTGGCCAAATTTTGGACGCCGAGCTGGGCACTTTCAGGGTTTGGTGCACCCAGATGCGATGATCCAACATACGGCCGCTGCAGTGCATTGAGCCAGCGATGCCTAGGATCAGACGAATACTTGCAGCAACATCGCCCGAGGCTGCCACCGTTTCGGCCCATTGCATGTTCGAGCTAAGTTTGGCAAAGGAGAAGCTGCAAGTAGCTGCAAATGCGGCTGAGGAGGAGCAGCTTGCGCAGAAATATAGAATCCTGCTAGGCCTTGAGAGAACCATACTATTGAATGTGTATGCCCCACATAAGCGGATGATGGCCAACCAGTTCAAGTATCACTGCACGTGAGGAGATTCTGCAAGCATGGAAAAAGCTTGTGCTGCTACTGCATCCGGACAAGCCGGCTCCCCAGCTTAGCAGCATTGCCAGCGTGTTCAGAGGCACAAACAAAGCCTTCGGACGCTGAAAGCAGTGAGCTTCTAGATCTTGTTTGGTGACCTCTCGGAAGCATGGCTCAGATTCGGGAGGGCATTTTATGCCGATGTGAGTGCTGGCAGTGCTTCTTGACTTCATCGAGTCTTCTCGGTGAGCTTCTCACACCTGTATATGCTACATCAACCCATGCAGACTTGCACAACGGGGGAACACAAAACTCTCATGCAGATATTGTCGTTAGCCACGTCTTATTGAACGTGTTGGATGCGTGGACTGCAAGGTGCATAGACCTCCTGGATCCTTGTAGCACCTCTCAACACTAGGGTTCGCCAACGCCTGCCCTCGCATACGGCTTCTTTACACAGGTCTCTCCTTGGCTGCTTCGGATTTGAGTTTCCCTCCCTGCTGCACCTACTATTGGCGCAAGCAATGTCGAACTGCTTTGCGCTCCCTCTTCGCCACTTCAGTTGTGACATGCGATTAAACGGAGCTTCTGTACGATTCGCGTGTGGCATCTTCCACGTCTCGTAAATGTGCCAAAATCTGCCGCGCAATCATTGTCCGCTTTCCGTGTGCCGAGTGCTGAGACTGGCGTGGGGTTCCTGGTTGCCCACCTTCGCGATTTGCGTGGGGCAGGCTCGCCTCCATACGTTCATCGAACAAGTCAGTGGATGATACATCTAACTACTTCCCTACCTCCTTCGTACCTACTTCCCACTACCTTCCTTGCCTGCCTCTGCTGCCTCTGCTGCCTCTGCTGTCTCTTCTGCCTCCCTGTTTACGTAGAGCAGTAATGACTGTAATGGTAGCAGAGGCAGTAACTGTAACAGCAGTGATGTTTTTGCTGTTTTGTAGTCTGTGGTGGAATGTTCCAAACCAAGCAACAACAGTGGCACTGTACGCATCGCTGTTGGCGAATAATGCCAAATCAATGCAGGTGTGAGAGAGTAGGAATGCAGACAGGACTGCTGTGACGAACGTGTGTGTGTGTGTGTGTGTGTGTGCGTGTGATGCATTAGTTTTGAAGGATCTACAGCAGTGATGACCAGCTATTTCCATGTCTCTTGCATTCTATCCCCAAGCCATATTCTAAAATATAGCCCGGTTTTTGAAATCGGCTCGCAATGTTCCCACAAGAAAATGCACGGTGTACCCGATCAGTCCTCTGCGTTTTGAGATGCTGTTCTTAAGATTAAACGAAAAAGACAGCCGCACTTACCTGCTTCCGTGGCTAGCAGACCAGGTTGCAACGATTGGATGACGAGTCGAAGAAGGAGGGTGCGGATGCGTTGCATGAGGCACTCTGAACAAGAGACCGCAGCAAGGTTTGCCAAAGCATGCGTCTCAGGTGCACGAAGCCAAAGATGAGATGCGCAGGCGCCAGCAACAAGCTTGCGCGCAGGCGTGGAATCCGATGTCGAGGCTACGAAGGTTTCAGGTGCTGTCTTGGCGGCCCACGACTCTAAGTGACAAGAGCTCGAAGCGTTACCAATTCTTGTAGCCTGAGGCACAGTGCTGGCAAGGGAGATTCTGTTCCCCGTAGTTAGCTTCAAGTCGTCATGATGTTTGAGGTACCTGCGCAGCCAAAGGCTGGAGCTGCTTCTCGCTGCCTTGAGGTGCCCAGCTGAGATGGAAAGTAGGCAAAAATATCTCCAACCTGAGCAATGCTGGGACTTGTGAAGGTATTGTCTGAACGGAAACATTTTGCCACTGTGCCAAGGCCACACCCGGGGCGCGAAAGTATGAAATCAGCTGGACGCTGCCTGATGTCCAGGCATGTGCTCAAACGTGTTCGGGTCCATCTGTGTTTGTTCTATTCGGCGGTGTCCGTCATGTCTGGCGCGGTAGAGAGAATTCACATTGGCATGTGTGAATGCACCCTCTGTTGTACATGTACAGGAAGCCATGGCCATGACATGCATGTGTTAACTGTGTATATTTCCCGCTGCCGTTAGGGCCCTTGAGTCATATTCAGATAGCTTCGCAGTCGGCGAAAAGATCCACCAGTTTTCTCAAACTGGCAGCGGAGCCAGGTACCTCCGGGACCTGTATCTGCGCGGATCGCAGTAGCCTGTAGCCTGTGCTCAATACCTACCATTGCATACCTCCCTCTCAATTCTTTCCCTTCGAACTTTCGCCAAGCATGTCCGTGGCCGGTCTTCGGTATAGTCGCTCCACCTACTCGAGTACTCCCCTTGAGACTCGTAGCGGGAGCTACATATATGATGGCACCCCCAGTACGTTCCACGACTGGGAGTTTAGGACCTCTATGAGGCTTAAACTGTACGAAGATGCCATCAGGAGCAAATCTAAGAAGACCGTGGAGCCAGAAGAAGAAGGCAGTGACGATGAGAGCCGCGTCGTGGAGCAGAGTCCGACTGCGGGAGCCACTGCCCCTGTACCTCCCGAGGACAGGCCCGACATAGATGCAACCGAGGCATCTGCAGCAGCCTCTGATGGTGGATCTCGCAGGAGACCATCTGCACCGAAGTCACCTGACTCGGTCACAGAACTGCCGGTTGCCGACGAAATGTCATCCTATGCGGTTAAAGCACGTACCGAAATGGTGCATAAAGTGCTGGAAGGACTTCGGGACGAAGCCTTCGAACTCGCCCGGGATATCGGTATCGAATCCCTGACTGCCCCTGGTGGCCTCCGGGATTTCATCACCAAGTTGAGAAATGTCGTCTTCCCCCGTGCGACCGAAGAAGCTCGAGAGCTCTTCCGTGCGGGCCAAAAGCAAGGTGTCCTCGCACGCCAAGGTGGCGAGTCGATGCTGTCGTACGTCAGCCGACGACGACGCTGGTGGAAACTGCTCAAAACTCTCGACGCCAGCATCGAGCTTTCCGAGCCGATGCGTGTAGAATTGCTATTGGAGCTTTCCGGTTTGACTCGGCAAGAGTGCCTTGTCATTAAGGCATGCACCACTAGCAACCGGAGCTTTGAAGCAGTTGCTGCTACCCTAGTGGAGCACTACAGCGGCGTTCACCTAAAGGAAGGTCGTTCCTTAGGTGGCGGTACCTTTCAGGACCGCCGACCGCATCACCATCCTGGTGCCCGCCGCGGGAACCCTAAGGGCTACGGTAAGAATAGGTCTAAGGGTTTTAACCGTCGCGCCTACGTCGCTGAAGACGAGACACAGTACTACGACGACGCGCCGCCGGACGACGGCGACGATGCCGAAGAGTACGACGACACCTCGTACCCCGCTTTTGGGGACGAGCCTGAGTACGATCCTCACTCCTACCCCGCCGGGGAGGAGGAAGAGGACCCGGGTTACGAGGAATTCGAGCTCGAGGAAGAAGAGGCAACTGCCCTTAACTGCCTCGAGGAGCTTGATCCCGAGGATGCAGACAGCGGCCATGTAATCCAATTGCAGCTTGCCGCGAACGCCGCATTCGGAAAAGCGAAGGGGCGTAAGGGCAAGGGCCGCAAAGGAAAAGGGAAAGGCAAGGTAGTGCGATCACACCTTACGCTCGACGAACGTCGCGAGAAAATGAAAAGCTTGAAGGCACGGTCGAAATGCCTCAGGTGTGGGGCTATTGGTCACTGGGCAGGTGACCCCGAGTGCAAATTCCCTACCTCTAAAGGAGGGAAAGGGAAACCCCGGGCCCACATAGCAATTGTGGAGCCGCGACAGGACCCCGACGGGGGCCTGTACGTTCCCTCAGGGAACGATATGGACCCTAGTGGCCATATGGTGCGGGATCTAGGCGAACCCAGATCCAAGGCTGCCCCCTCACAATCATCTAGCTCAATGCAGATGGAGGGCGCCGACCGAAGATTTAATCTCGGTCAACACAAGGGCCAGACTTACGAGGAGGTATCCCGTAAGACTGAGTTCGTGCGCTGGGCCCTCGTCCAGCCGAGCCCGGCCGCGCACCTTAAGGATTTCCTCACCTGGTTTAATAGATATTATGTCATTCAGCAGGGTGTAGGAGGTCAATACTATCGCGAAACTCGTGCCTCGATAGGTATCCCTGAGGGAACCTATAACCCTCGCCCGAGGGGAAAGGGCGCGAAGAAGAAGACTCCACCGAATCCGCCTTTGGCGGAGAAGTGTAGCTCGTGCACGGAATTCTCCTACCAAGGGAGTTCCGCGAATTACGTCCGCAAGACCTGCAGGGACTGCGGCCATGTATCCCAAGAAAAACGGGAACATGTATATACCGTAGACCCCTCTGTATGCTCACACGAGGCAACAGACCATCGGGGTAGTTCGAGGACCACGTCCCGAACCTTCTGTAGAATGTGTGGCACTATCGTTGATGAAGTGCCGCAGGAGTTTCACCGAGAACGGAAGGCCGTCTCGGAACGCATCTTGGAAGCGACGGACCTCGCGCTTCCCCTGGTTCAAGCGGTTACCGCTGACGACGCGACCGCTGACCTCGACCCTGAGGCAGTGCTGCAGATCATGGGTTTGTACCAAGATCGCATCAACCAGGCCATTGCGTTAGAGGAACGGATTCACCCAACAGGGCTTCACTTATGGCTTAAGGAAGCAATCACCATGATAGTCGGGTCTAGTCCCATAAGTCCCTCCTGGGAGTTCGCCCCGACAGCAATGGTGGCCCGAGGGCGCAGCCCCGGGCGCAACAAAGGAAAGGGGAAGGCTAAGCAGCCTGTTCCAGCCGTTCCTGCTTCAGAGCCAGATCCAGCTCCAGAGCCTGAGCCAGCCTCAAATACTCCGGAGCTGTACAACATCTCGGATCCCCTGGGGACCGATTCCGTTGTGCACAGCCAGGACCCGGATCTCGATCGCGATTATCGAGAAGCTATTCTAATAGAAAGCTTCAGGGCCGATGACGATCTGTACGACCCGTTCCCGGGTGGTTCGTCAGACGACGGATCGCCAGGATCCTACAATGTTGCTGAGCTGGACGATTATATCGCCAGGCAAGCTCAAGAGGATCTTGACGCAGCCTTTGAGCAGGCGCGCCAGCAGATTCAGAATGATGCCGAATCCGACAGTGTGACGCCTCCTGCCTCAGCGTCGGCGGCTCAGAACCGTCTGCAAGTGCGACACGTTCC